AAGTGTGTTTCCTTTCGTACTGAAAAAGATGTATTCTCATACATGTAAGCTTGGCCAAATACGCTTACTGGAAAGATACACAAGAAACTGCTAGGAGAGGTTAACACTGGAGAGGGGACCTGAAACCCTAGAAGCAGAAATGATACTTTCTTGGCCAGGCGCAGTGGCTCATGCCTTTAATCCCAGCACTTTTTTTTTTCTTGTAGAGATGGGCATCTCGCTCTGTTGCCCAGGCTGGCCTCCAACTCCTGGGCTAAAGCAATCCTCTTGCCTCAGCCTTCCAAAATGTTGGGATTACAGGCGGAAGCCACCACAGGGGAACTGAAATGATAGTTTTTGCTTGTTTGCTAACGGCTTTCTTTTTTTATTTTATTTATTTAGTTAATTTATTTTTTTAAAGATGGGGTTTCTCCATGATGGCCAGGCTGGTCTTGAACTCCTGACCTCAAGTGATCCACCCACCTCGGCCTCCCAAAGTGCTAGGATTACAGGTGTGAGCCACTGCGCCCAGCCTCTAACAGCTTTCTTGAGAATAGTATCACATTATACAACTATGTATATACAGTTAGTTATATGTATACAAATAGTATACAATTCGGCCAGGCATGGTGGCTCATGCTTGTAATCCTAGCACTTTGGGAGGCCGAGGTGGGTGAATCACCTGAGGTCAAGAGTTCAAGACCAGCCTGGCCAACATGGTGAAACCCCTTTTCTACTAAAAATACAAAAATTAGCCAGGCATAGTGGTGCACACCTTTAGTCCCAGCTATTTGGGAGGCTGAGGCAGGACAATTGTTTGAACGCTGGAGGCGGAAGTTGCAGTGAACCAAGATTGTGTCACTGCACTCCAGCTTGGGTGACAGAGCAAGACTCCATCTCAAAAAGGAAATGATACCTTTAACATGCATATATGATTTTTTTCAACAAAGAATCAGGCCGGGTAAGGTAGCTCATGCCTGTAATCCAGCACTTCGGGAAGCTGAGGTGGGTGGATCACTTGAACCCAGGATTCAAGACCTGCCTCTACAAAAGATACAAAAATTAGCTGGGCATGGTGGCTTGAGTCCCAGCTACTCAAGAGGCCGAGGTGGGAGGATCGTCTGAGGCCAAGAAGTCAAGGCTGCAGTAAGCTGAGATCAGGCCACTGCACCAGAGTGACACCCTGTTTAAAAAAATAAAGACAGTTTAGCTTTAGCTTTTGCACTAATTTTTTTAGAAAAAGGCAGTATATTTAAAACAGGAAACAAAATCATTGATCCATTTGTCCTTCGTATCCAGCTTGTTCTCATAGCTTATCTCTCCACCCTTCCCTCAAAGCCACCCTCATACTTGCTCATGCCTGCTTTTTGCTTGAAGGAGAAAGTGGGCACACAGAGGGAGCATCCACATTTTTATCCATTACTTTTTCTGACAAACAGTTTATTTATTCCTCCTTTTCCTCTTCTTCTTCGTCTTCCTCTTCCACCTTTTTCCAGGCAACTTTAGCCGGACCCTTTGTGCCATCAAACTTTCTTTTCAACTTACAGTCAGCAACATCATTCTCATACTTCTCCTTTGGCTTTCACACCTAAGGCTGCTTTTCACTGTCATTTAACCTGTTCCACATCTCACCCAGCTTTTTTGCCACGTCTCCAATAGAGATGCCAGGGTTTGTGGATTTGATTTTGGGGCAGAATTTCAAACAGAACAGGAAGAATCCAGACGGTGGCCTTTTGGGAGCATTAGGATCATCCTTCTTGCCTCCCTTAGCTGGTCCATAACCCTTCATTTCCCGATTACAGTGCACTTTATCTGCCTTTGCCATTTCATCAAATTTAGACTTCTCTTTACCAGACATTATCTTCCACCTTTCAGAGCATGTCTTGGAAAATTCTGCAAAATTGATAGGGTTTTTCTTCTTATGTTTTCTGCACGTCTGCACAAAGGCATAAACAGACATCTTTCCCTTTGGTTTCTTGGAGTCATCTTTGGTCATCCTGACCGTATTGTTTGCTCCCATTACTTTCTTAATAGTTACGCTGGTAATGGTCATTTCTCTATAGTTTCTCTATACTTATGCTAAATCTGGCATTGTCAAAATGATGGGCAAAGAAAAAGATTTATAACTATGTTTTTTTTGTTTGTTTTTCTGAGACAAAGTTTTGCTCTATCACCAAGGCTGAAGTATGCAGTAGCATGATCTCAGCTCACTGCAACCTCTGCCCCTGGGGTTCAAGCGATTCTCCTACCTCAGCCTCCCGAATAACTGGGACTACAGGCGAGTGCCACCACACCCCACTAATTTTTGCATTTTTTAGTAGAGATGGGGTTTCACCATGTTGGTCAGGCTAGTCTCAAACTCCTGACCTCATGATCCGCCCACCTCAGCCTCCCAAAGTGCTGGAATTACAGGCGTGATCCACTGTACCCAGCCAATGTAATGTTAATTGAAGCTTATTATAGTGAAGTTAAACTTTTTTTTTTTTTTTTTGGAGACAAGTTCCCGGCCAGGCTAGAGTGCAGTACAATCATGGCTCACTGCAGTCTTGAACTTCTGGGCCCAAGGGATCCTCGTGCCTCATCCTCCCAAGCGGCTAGGACTACAGGCATGCACCACCATACGTGGTTAATTTTTATTTTTTTGAGACAGATTCTCACTTTGTAGCCCAGGCTAGAGTATGGTGCACAATCTTGGCTCACTGCAACCTCCACCTCCCGAGTTTAAGTGATTCTCAAGCCACAGCCTCCAGAGTATCTGGGACTATAGGCAGGTGCCACCTCCCCCGACTAATTTTTATATTTTTAGTAGAGATTGGGGTTTCCCATGTTGGCCAGGCTGGTTTCAAATTCCTGACCTCAGGTGATCCACCTGCCTTGGCCTCCCAAAGTGCTGGGATCACCACGCCCAGCCTAATTTTTATTTTTTTGTAGAGATAGAATCTCACTTTCTATCTCTGCTCAAGGCAAATCACTTGAGCCCAGGAGTTTGAGACCAGCCTGGGCAACATGGAAAAACCCTATCTCTACAGAAAATACCAAAATTAGTGGCATGTACCTGAGTGCCAGCTACTCACAAGGCTGAGGTAGGTGGATAGATTCAGCCCATGAGGCTGATGCTGCAGTGAGCTGTGAGCATGCCACTGCACTCCACTAGCCTGGGCAACAGGGCAAAACCCTGTCTCTCAAAAAATAAAATAAAATAAATAAAATAAAATAAAATATAAAATATAAAATAAAATAAAATAGTAGAGACAGGGGCTCTTTGTTGCCCAGGCTGCTTCAAGTGATCCTCCTACACTGGCCTCTCAAAGTCCTGAGATTACAGGTGTGAGCCACTGTGCCCAGACCTTTAAGAGCTTTTAAACTGGGGACTCTTTTTGGTTATAAGGAACAGAGACAGCCAGGTGCAGTGGCTCACGCCTGTAATCCCAGCAATTTGGGAGACCGAGGCGGGCAGATCATTTGAGGTCAGGAGTTTGAGACCAGCCTGGCCAACATGGTGAAACCACGTCTTTACTAAAAATACAAAAATTAGCCGGCATGGTGGCACATGCCTGTAATCTCAGCTACTCGGGGAGGCTGAGACAGGACAATTATTTGAACCCGGGAGGCAGAGGTTGCAGTGAGCCAAGATCACTCCACTGCACTCTAGCCGAGGTGACAGAGCGACACTCTGTCTCAAAAAAATGAAAATAAGGAACAGAGATATACTGAAACTACCTCAAGGAAAGTATATAGGGATGTCAACCCAAGGAGAGGAAAAGAGTACTGTTTCACCTCATGCCATCCTGAGCTGGGTTTGAAGTGTAGTGGCTCTTCCCGTCTTTCAGGCCCAACTGACATCTGCTTAATCCTCCCTTTCTTGATCAGGCACTTCTTCTCGCTTTTTTTTTGGTTGTTTTTTTTGTAGAGATGGGATCTCCCTGTGTTGGCCAGGATGGTCTGGAACTCCTGTCAAGTGATCCACCCTCCGCAGCCATCCAAATTGCTGGGATTACAGGCTTGAACCACTGTGCCTGGCCCCACTCACTTTTTTACACAGCTTAGTCTGCCTGACCAAACCACCATATAGTGGCTAACATTTCAAAATATTAACCTGCCAAATAGTCTTGTTTAAATATACATAGGTCAGGCACAGTGGTTCACGCCTGTAATCCCAGCACTTTGGTTGGCTGAGGCAGGTGAATCACTTGACAGGAGTTCTAGACCCTCCTGGCCAACATGGTGAAACCCCATCTCTACTAAAAATACAAAAATTAGCCAGGCATGGTGGTGGGCCCTGTAATCCCAGCTACTCAGGAGGCTGAGGCAGGAGAATCGCTTGAACCTGGTAGGCAGAGGTTGCAGTAAGCCAAGATTGAGCTGCTGCACTCCGGTCTGGGCAACAGACATGGTCTCAAAAAAATAAATTAAAAAATAAATCAATGTGTATAAACATAAACCCACTATAATTTATAGCTCTCATGTCAATATAAAACTGTAAGTTTATAATTTTACCTATAATACAAACCAAAAAGTCAAATTAACATTTATGTTCCTTTTTTTTTTTTTTTTTTGAGATGGAGTCTCACTCTGTTGCCCAGGCTGGAGGGCAGTGGCGCGATCTCAGCTCAGTGCAACCTCCGCCTCCTGGGTTCAAGTGATTCTCCTACCTTAGTCTCCCAAGTAGCTGGGATTACAGGCGTGAGGTATCAAGCCTAATTTTTGTCTTTTTAGTAGAGACGGGGGTTTCACCATGTTGGCCAAGCTGGTCTCAAACTCCTGACCTCAAATGATCCACCTGCCTCAGCCATCCAAAGTGCTGGGATTACAAGCGTGAACCACTGCGCCTGGCCTGTATGTATTTAAACAAGACTATCTGGCAGGTTAACATTTTGAAATGTTAGCCACTATATGGTTGTTTGGTCAGGCAGACTAAGCTGTGTAAAAAAGTGAGCGGGGCCAGGCATGGTGGCTCACGCCTGTAATCCTGGGTTCAAGCAACCGTCATGTCTCAGCCTTCTGTGTAGCTGGGATTACAGGTATGTGCCACCATGCCCAACTAATTTTTGTATTTTTTGTAGAGACGTGGTTTTGCCATGTTGGCTAGGCATGTCTTGAACTCCTGGCCTCAAGTTATCCACCTGCCTCAGCTTTCCAAAGTGACTTTTGAGATTTTTTTCCTGAAATTAAAATGGAAAATTTAATTTTTTTTTCATAGAGTACCTGCAGATTCCAAGAAACATCCATGGAATTAATTTTAGGGAACATTTGTTTGAGAGCAGCTTAGGGACAGAAGCAATGGGTCCTGGCCTAGGTTACCACAAATGCCACCCCTTTGCTCCACATCCCATGTACTGCTGTCACCAAGAAACAATGATGTACAAGCTAAAGAATAAAAAAACCACTGGGCACGGTGGCCCATGCCTGTATTCCCAGCACTTTGGGAGTCCGAGGCAGGCAGATCACAAGGTCAAGAGCTGGAGACCAGCCTGGCCAACACGGTGAAACCCCGTCTCTACAGAAAATACAAAAATTAGCCAGGTGTGGTAGCAGGCACCTGTAATCCCTGCTACTCGGAAGGCTGAAGCAGGAGAATCGCTTGAAACTGGAAGGGGGAGGTTGCAGTGAGCCGAGATTGCACCATTGCACTCCAGCCTGGGCGAAAGAAAAAAAAAAGAAAAATGCAAAATGAAGGATGAACTAAAGAGGGGATGGTAAATTTGTTCTTCCTGAAAAGGCAACTTGCAAAAAAGAGGGAAAATGGAGGTGCTGAGTGAAGTGTGTGCTTTTTTTATTCTTGTTCTTTGATTTCTCTTAGTGTGTGTTTTTTTTTTAAATAGCTGTTTACCCTTTTTTTTTTTTTTTTTTTTTTGTTTGAGACAGGGTCTCATTTTTTCACCAGACTGAAATCCAGTGGTGTGATTAAGGCTTATGGCAGCCTCCACCTCCCAGGCTCAGGTGATCCTCTCACCTTAGCTGCCCGAGTAGCTGGGACTACAGGTGCCCACTACCACACCTAATTTTTCTATATTTTGTGGAGACGAGGCCTCACCATGTTGCCCAGGCTTGTCTTGAACTGGGCTCAAGTGATCCACCAGCTTTGGCCTCCCAGAGTGCTCGGATTACAGGCATAAGCCACTGCACCCGGTCAACATTTTTTTTAAAGCTGTATTAGCACAGAGAACAAACACCATGTTGTTTTAGGGATGGGCAGATGTCACTAACAGAATATCTCAGAAGCTAGACTGAAACTTCCATAGGGAAAAACAAGATTTAGCTTCCTTGGTTTGGGGAATATTCCTCTTGGTTGCCAGAAAAGACCCACTGACATTCACACCCATTGTGATTCACAGCCCCAGTGTGGTACAAATGCTTGTGATGTGGAAAAATCTTCAGGTGCTCTTCTCCTTTCCTTTCTGCCATCAGAATAAACTTTATGTCCTTCGGGTCAGACCTGTTGGGACCTGGTGGCACACCCTCCCCTTCCTCATGGGCTCCAAACTTCGTCTTTTCAGTGACTGCAATGGGGATCCTCAAAGGAACCAGGAGCTATTTTTTTTTAATTGTAAATCTTTAAATTTTGAAGTCTTCATTAGAAGTCCTCAAAATCAAGGTCTTCTTGTGAAAGGAGTTAACATGCATGTTAAGTGGGAATTACGCATCATCGCTCCTAACTTTTCTTATTCAAATAATCAAATAGGGACATTGAGGAGTAGGGGAGAACTAAGAAAAAAAAAGAACGACTTCCTTGGGTTTTGTAGCATTCTCTTTTTGGAAGTCCATGAAATAAGGGAAGTTGTATACCATTCCTGGTGGTCACCTATGATCTGTCTGAAATATGTTTTTTGTTGTTATTTTCGAGACATATTCTCCCTCTGTCGCCCAGACTGGAATGCAGTGGTGTGATCTTGGCTCACTGCAACCTCCACCTCCTGGGTTCAAGTGATTCTCCTGCCTCAGCCTCCTAATTAGCTGCAATTACAGGCACATGTCACCATGCCCAGCTAATTTTTTTTTTTAATTTTTAATAGAGACGGGGTTTCACATGTTGGCCAGGCTGGTTTTGAACTCCTGGCCTCAAGTGATCTGCCCACCTCAGCCTCCCAAAGTGCTGGGATTACAGGCATGAGCCACCACACCTCACTGAAAATTGACTTTAATAACATAGACCCACTGTGGAGAGAGAAAGAATGAATATGAATTACCGTCTTGGTTAAAATATTCCTGGGCTCTAATTCCATGTCTATCAGGCAACCTTCTTGGGGTTGATTTGAGCTCGAGTGTCCTCATGACAAGAAGAGAAAACTTTAAACAATGAGCATGAGGGTTTGTTTGTGAACACTGACATTTGAATTCTAAATTTTTTTTCTTTTTGTTTGGAGACAGGGTTTCCTTGTGTCGCCCAGGCTGTAGTGCAATGGTGTGATCTCAGCTCACTGCAACCACTGCCTCCCAGGTTCAAGTGATTCTCATGCCTCAGTCTCCTGAGTAGCTGGGATAACAGGCATCTACAACCATGCCTGGCTAGTTTTTGTATTTTTAGTGGAGACAGGCTTTCACTACATTGACAGGCTGGTCTCAACCTCTTGACCTCAGGTAATCCACCCGCTTTGGCCTTCCAAAGTACTGGGATTACAGGTGTGAACCACAGTGCCTGGCCATGAATTCTAAAATTTATATAGAAATACAAAGGACCTAGAAAGCCAAAGCAATCTTAAAAATATTATTGGAAGATTTATACTACCAGGTATCAACAGTATTGGTACAAGGATAAACAGACCAGGCAAAAGAACACAGAACACAGAAACAGCGACATCCACAGTCACATAATGAGCAAAGCTACACCTCCACAGTCATGTGATGAACAACACAAACACCACTGCAATTAGTGTGGGAAAGGCCAGTCTCTTCTGTGAATGGTGCTGAGTCAGTCTGGCATTTGTGTGAAAACAAACAAACAAACAAACAAAAAACACCATAAACAAAAATTAACTTAAAGTGGAGCACAGACCTAAATATATAGCTAAAACTATAAAACTTCTAGAATGAAACACAGGAGAAAAATCTTAGTGACTTTATGTTTGGCAAAAAGTTCATAAATATGACACAAAAAAACATTAAAAAGGAAAAAAAATGGATAAATTGGACATCATCAAAACTAAAATCTTTTGCCCTAAGAGGCAAGCCACAGGCTAGGAGGAAATACTTTTGAAATATATCCAACAAAGGACTTTTATCTAGCATTTAGTAACTGCAGGCTGTGTACAGTGGCTCACACTTGTAATCCCAGCACTTTGGGAGGCTGAGGCAGGCGGATTACCTGAGGTCAGGAGTTCAAGACCAGCCTGACCAACATGGTGAAACCCCATCTCTAGTAAAACACAAAATTAGCCAGGCATGGTGGCGCATGCCTATAATCCCTGCTACTTGAGAGGCTGAGGTAGGAGAATTGCTTGAACCCAGGAGGCGGAGGTTGCAGTGAGCTGAAATCACGACATTGCACTCCAGCCTGGGCAGCAAAAGCAAAACTCCATTTCAAAAAATAAAAAAACAAATTTACTAAGAATCTGCTTGCTGTTAAAATTTTTTTTCTTTTTTTCTGAGACAGAGTCTCGCTCTGTCACCCACGCTAGAGTGCAGTGGCACAATCTCAGCTCACCATAACCTCCACCTCCCCGGCTCAAGCAATTCTCCTGCCTCAGCTTCCTAAGTAGCTAGGATTACAGGCGTACATCACCATGCCTGGTTAATTTTCAATTTTTTAAAGTAGAGACGGGGTTTCACCACGTTGTCCAGTCTGGTCTCAAATTGCTGACCTCGTGATATGTCCGCCTCAGCCTCCCAAAGTGCTGGGACTACAGGTGTGAGCCACCACGTCCAGCCTGCTGTTAAAAATTTAAAACAGCAACAACAACAAAACAACAAAACCCCTACAATTTACACAGGCTACCACAATGGCTAAAATTAAAAAGGCTTACTAGCTGGGCTCTGTGGCTATTGCCTGTAATCCTAGCACTTTGGGTGGCCCAGGTGGGAGGATCGCTTAAGCCCAGGAGTTTGAGACCAGCGTGGGCACCACAGTGAGACCCTGTCTCAAAAACACCACCACCACTTTTAGTTAAGCAAATTTTTTAAAAAACAAGGTTTACCAAACCAAGTGTTGGCCAGGATACAGAAAAACAGAAACTTTCACTCACTGTTGGTGGGAATGTGGTGCAATCATTTTGGAAAAAGTTTGGCAGCTTCATAAAAAGGTAAACAAGCACCTGCCATATGGCCCAGCCATTCTCCTAGGTATTTACTCAAGAGAAATGAAAGCATATGTCCATGCAAAGACAACAGAAATGTTCAGGGCAGTTTTATTTGCAGTAGCCCCCAAACGGGAAACAACCCAAATGTGCATCAACAGCTGAATGGAAAAACAAATTATGTGGTGTTTCCATACAATGAAATACTATTCAGCAATAAAAAGCAATGAATTGTTAATAAATACAACAACAGTGATAAATCTTAAAATAATTATGCTGCAAGAAGCCAATGCCAAAAAATACGTACTGAGGTGGGCACGGTGGCTCACGCCTGCAATCTCAGCACTTTGGGAGGCCAAGGTGGGCAGATCACTTGAGGCTAGGAGTTCAGGACCAGCCCAGCCAACATGGTAAAACCCTTTCTCTACTAAAAATACAAAAAATAGCCCAGTATGGTGGCAGGCACCTGTAATCCCAGCTACTTGGGAGGCTGAGGCAGGAGAATCACTTTTACCCAGGAGGGCAGAGGTTGCAGTTAGCAGAGATCCCATCACTGCACTCCAGCCTGGGCAACAAAGCAAGACTCTGTCCAAAAAAAAAAAAAAATACATATATACACACACACACACACACACACATACACGCACACATACATATGTATGCATATAGAAAATGCAAATTAGTATGTAGTGATGGGAGCAGAGGAAACTTCTAGAGGTAATGGATAACTCCAGATGGATACCTTATCTTGATTTTGGGAACGATTTCACATAACAAATTATCAAAACACTTCACATTATTCATTAGAAATATATGTAGTTGATTATGTCAATTATACCTCAGTAAAATTATTACAGAAGTTTCCTAGGAGGTGACACTATCACTGGGCTCTGCCCCAGCTTTTGAGCTTTCCTGGAGCTGGGTCTGTCCCTTGAAGTCAAGTGGGTGGGCTTAACAGGTAGGATGGACTTCATTTCCTTCCACTGTCTGTACACATGGCATTTGTCCTTCAAACATGCCCAGCTACTTCCTTCCTGAACCCCCAGGTCTTCAAGGCACTGGGGTCTCCTCATTGTTTTGGCATGAATGTCAAGGGCCTTCACTGAGCACGTCTAAATTAGTTCCTACCCTCACTCTGTCCCAAAATTACTTTCTGTATTTCCATTTTGTTTTCTTCACTGTACATATCAGAACTAGTTTTTGTGTGTGTGTGTGTGTGTGTGTGTGTGTGTGTGTGTGTGTGTGTGT